GATTACTATGTTCAAAACATATCTACTAACTATTACGACTATTCATTCATGATTGTATTTTATTAGGAAGGTACTTCTATGATTCTCCTCTTGGATGATTTTCATAATATTCACACAATCAGAATGCCAGACAACCTGAAATTGTCTAAAGCAACACACATGGCTTCTGTTCTACTTGACATTCACCTGGAAATACCAGCCGTAAAAAAAACCCAACGCACAGTGTGTCCACAGTGTTTTGAAAATTACTTTCAGAGGGCAGGAGACTGTTTGCAGAGGTGGTATTGTAAAAAGATACATACAAGAACTGTTCACAGAAAGTCTTAAAAGCCACCACCACTCATTTCTAACCTCTCTTCCCCAACAATGTCAGCAGCTGAAGGCTAAAGATATACAAAAACAGATCAAACAGTTCAGGTGTTTATTAAGAGTTTCATGTTTTCTCTTTTCCCACAACTGTCCAGTTTAACAGGGTTTCATAGCTGTGGTGTGTAAAATCGCAGTGAATGCATAAACTGTAATAGCATTTGAACCATGAAGAAAACAAATTAATTATATCTTCTTTTGCCAAGTTGATTGGGTTTGCATGAATTGTTTGGTAGAAAAAAACAATAAAAAAAAAACACAAAACACTAAGACACCCTCAATTGGAAATACACTACATGTACATGTGCTCTTGTACTATGTATGTTCCAGCAACCCAGTAGGTAATGACTTATTTTTCTCTACAATAGACCTGCATTATGTATGCATTATATAAAGTCTTAAATTGCAATCATGGTGCACAAGTAACAATATTTTTACTTTAATTTCTAGAGTATACAATGGCATGGCACAAGATGAACTTCTTACCCTGAGCACTTGCGTTTTAATAGACGAATTCGAGGCAGGCCTGAAAAGCATGGAGGATTACAAGGCTGCACTTAACCATACATTCCATTCTGCTCTTCCCCTTCATGATTTCTGTAAATTATTTGTTATTCCACTGCCTGGAGATTGGCCAACCTGGTACTACACCAAAAAAATAATTGCTCAGCTACCAGAAACAAGTTCCCAAGAACACCCTTATTTGTCCCTTATTCCAGAACAAGGACCTTTTCATGTCTGCTTAAATATAAATGAGGATGTCATTAAAAGCCACCACATAGTTTTTTGCAAGACTTTATAAGGAGGTTTTTGGCAGTGACTCCCACTTAAACCAAAAACCTTTCGAACAAGCCTCATTATTACAGGAACCTTGTGTGGATGGTTGTTAATCAGACATAAAGTCCTGGCCAAATTCAAGTTCTGCAAAGATATTGAATTTCTGTACCTGGTTAATTTACTTGAAGAAATTTTGCCACTGGTCTTTTTTCAATATGACAGCATTTTTTGCTCTGGTAATCTGGAACTGTACATAAATGTCATGATTCGTCTAGCCATTATTTTCATTATCTGGGAGCGACATCATTATGACAGATCCACTCTATCCATGTTAAGTGACTTGTATCACCAAAAGATCAACTTTCCTGCCTACTATAACTTTAAAGAGCAATGGCTATCAATAATAACAGAAAAGAAGGTAGAAATCTGGCATTCATTGTTACGAAATCACATTTCAACACACTACAGTGGTGATGAGATACATGACACAGCAATTTCTCTGGCTGCTTCTGACACTGCTAGGAAATTTCATTCGTCCTTTGTGAGGCCATACACCAGAGGTCAATCGGAAAAAAACATGAAACTTGTGGCAGGTAATGTGTTTCACAACTGCAAGGGACAACTGTATCTAGCTTTATTATTCTCTTTTCAAAAGAAAAGTGATACATTTTTTAAAGAATTAATCAACTACAACTTTCTCTTTAGTCTTATTTCCAATTTATTCCAGAAAAGACATTGTTTAAAACTAAGTTGAAGAAAAACCAATCACCCATTAACCCAACTTTGAACTTTACCTTAAGAATGACATTGACAGTGGAAGTCTTAGATCTTAATGCAGGCAGTGACAATGAAATTGCTTCCTCATTGTTTTTAATGTAACATTATTTAAGATATTTAATGCTGTTTGTATATTCTAGTGTTGCCTCTTGAAAACCAATTTTGCAGATATTAATGGAGCTTCATTTAAAAATTTCCATAGTCTTACTCTCTCCTAGAAACTCTTGACCAATGATTTGGTAGATACACGGTAACATGCAGATATTTTACAGTGTATGAGTTGCATAGTCCTTTTTTAAACCCCACAAAAACACAAACACAAAGATACAGGTTGCTGTCATTCTAGACCATGGTCACAAATTTATACTGAAAAAAAACTTGCATGGCCATAGATACGTATTGTCTTGATTTGCCTCACTTAATGTGAACTTATAAAACTTGTACAGGCAAAGTTGCTGAGGTGCTTTTGAAATTATTCCAGGATGTTGCTCAAAATATTGGAAAGTCTAAGAAGGTAAGTATCTGCATCATTTTGTAACTCTACACATAAATCTTCTTGTTTGAATTGAATAGATGAAACCGAAGCTATTTAGATTTCAACGGATAAGCCACATAAATGTCACCTCATCAATACCTAAGCCAACACTGTCAAGCACACAGGTGAAGAAAATGGATGATGAAAGCTCACCTTAAAGAAGCAGCAAACTAACAAGGCTAACTCTCAATATTACAAAATAAAAGAAGTGAAAAAATTATTATTAACAGTTCATATTTTATCCTTCAGCTAAAAAAAACATGGCAAACCTAATGAAAATGTGATAAAGTTAAATAAAATTAATACTGTTCTCCTATGAAGATTAATGGAGGAATCATTAAAGCTTGACTATCACTGTCTTATTCTTAATATTCCTTAAAACTATCTTCTGTGTTTGACAGAAACATTATTTTTGTTACACAGGTCACAGACAACCCTTCCAGTCAAAGTCAAAACAAAAGACAAAAATTCCATCTTCAAACATTCAATGAAATTGTTGATACAAAGTCTCTTCCTCTTTCGCAGACAAACATCTGGATAGCAACCCACAGTATCCAAATCCAGCCATTTTATGCGACTACAGCAACTGTGCTGTAACTCAAGACACTGACCAATTTGTAAGACTAGCTTGCTGCCACACTTTCCACCAAGAATGTTACCTTCGAAATAACTCTAACTGTCCAATCTGTACTAAGCCTCTGTTAAAGAAAGTAGCCATGCTGGCTGATACTTTTAATCTCAGTTTACTAACACCTACTAAATCGTCGTCATCAACTACCAATGCAGAAACATCCAACTTATCCTCTGAAGAGCCTGACACAGAATTAACTCCTAACAATTCAAGACAACCTATTTTCTATGAATCCGATGAATGGGAACAGTTTGTAGATCATGCTTTAGCTAATGTCACTGTCCCACAACCTCCAAGTTTAAGAGTACAAGGACAACAACAAGAATGTCAACAGCAACATCCAAAGCAGCCACACTGCCAAGACCAAGGAGTCAATCACCAAGCGCAACAAGCAAATCAAAACATCAGCATCACATCAGTGAACAGTGCAGGCAGCAAATTCCTTTTTTTTCCACAGTCTGTTTCGCAGGCTACTATGAATGGCAGGAGGGGGTCAAACGCTTGCACTTTCATTGCATTGTACTTGGCAAAAAGTTATCATGCCAACATAGGACACCTACCACCCCCAACACAAATTTCACCTGTGTGGGCTGCTGTTGTGATGTCCTGCATCATTCAGGGAAATTCCACACATGACACTTTAACTGGGGAAGAGCAATTAATTTTGCTGTGGATGATGCAGTCCAACACCTTAGACAAAACTTGGGACAAATTCAAATGGAAGATTCGTTTGACATCACATTAACCAGTGAAGATATAAATGTACCCCAGTCATCAGCAGCATTTTACCTCCAACGTTTAACTCAAGAAGCTAATCTATCTGCAATTCTTATTATCACCGATATGACAATTTGTTTTGTTGCACATGGAGCAAATATTGTGATGTTCGACAGCCACTTGCATGGTAATTTTGGAGCTCTTATTGCCAGTACAACTGTTGAAAACACCGAGAATTTCTTGAAGGCAGTGAAAGCGATGATAAGCCCAAACTACAACATGTGCTCCTTAACATTTGTTAAGTTTGCTTAATTTTCAATAAGCTTACATGTAAGTTTAAGTTTTAAGTTTTCCGGGATTTAAAACATAGGCTCATTTGATGAAATCAGAAATGACATTAATAACTATTTTCGTCAGATTTTGTTTGTTCTTATTACAGACCTTAACTCTTTGCGAGAAAATGTGAGTTTATTTGATGTAAGAAGTTAGAAGAAGCTTTCATCAGTCATGAAAGAGAACCATGAAATGTACGAGTTCATCAACGAGAGCAACCAAACAATGTTGTATTTTGCAGAACAAGCCAGAACCTAAAGTGTATGGTCAGTATTCAATGAAATAACCAAGTGTTCATTAAAGCATGTGTTAGTATAAAAGTGTTCTATAATACAAACTTAAGGTTAGATTTTTCAGCCAACACGATTTGCATCCCCTGCGCGCCGCGTCATGATCATTGATCAACAAAATTAATACAACCGACAGTCCGGGAATATTAAGACAAATGCATATTTACTCATACTTACAATTCATGTTATAAGTTCCTCTTCTTCGTCCCTTTCATCACCAACGAACTTCATTGAAGTAAAAAGAAAATTTCGCTTCTACCTCACAAGAAGGCACTGCCGTCGACACAGCCACATGCAGGTTTTTTGAATCGAACGAAGTGATCCCCGCGCAATTTCTCGCGCATGCTCAGACGTTTGACCGCGGTGTGACAAGCTGTAAATAGAGACTGACGTCATTATCTATCTCTCTATCTATCCCCCGGCCCTCCCCGTCAAGCTCGAAGGCGAAAGATAAAAAAGGAATTATGATAATAATAATAATAAATGATAAAATAAAACGCCTACACCACACAACCAGAACAACTGGATTGACAAAGCTGATCATTCCATCAGCGTCGTCCTTTGTAATGTCCAGTCCCCGAAGAAAATTTTTTTGTCATTCTAACATTCCCACAAGAAGACAAGCGAGAGCGCTCTTAGGTCCTCTTAGGGCCCGTTTACATGGAGGTGGAGAACCCAGGTAGGTGAGGTAACCCGCATCCTCGGAGACCCAGGGGCAGTCAGTGGGGTCGGGAGAAAAGGCGGACGAAAGTTTTCAAGTACGGGCAAGAGCTTGAAAACTTTCGTCCCGCCCTTTCACCCGACCCGACTCACTGCCCCTGGGTCTCCGAGAATGGGTAACCCGCTGAGGTGGTGTAACCTGCCTGTCCATATAGAGTGTTTGCACTCACGTGGCCAGCATCTATGCTAATTTATTGGAACAAAAGAGAGTTTTACATAAGGAAAGGGTTCAATTGCCACAGGGCTGTCTTGGTACACCAACATGGCCGCCGTTTCACTGTTTTGGAACACCAATATGGCCGTCGTAACGTCAAGTGAAAACGCTCTATATTTTGATCACGTTTACCATTTTACATGATAGGTGGGGTGACCCGCCAAGGCGGGTAGCCCGGTATGCTAGCTCGGGTAACCCTCCCAGCCAAGGTGGGGTAACCAGCCTAGCCGGAGTCGGATTCGTGATACATCAAATTCGCGAAAAATTCACTTTGGCGTTGGCTTTGCATCATTATTGAAGGTATCAATAGAAAACCACAGCAGTGAAGGTTGCAGCTAGAGCAGCAAGTGAGTGTAGCAGAGCATTAATCGCCAAAAAACTGGTTTGCCACAGGTTTGCCAGCATTATTTTTGTTTACGTGCTTGGCGACCATTCAATAATCTTGAGAAAGTGCACTCCCGGATAGGGAGGTTGTAAGATTGCATGTAAAGGAGGGTTATTGTTTTAGCCCACCCAAGCAGGTTACATCACCTGCCTGGGGTTCCCCACCTCCGTGTTAAAAATGCCCTAAGTACTGTAATCTTGCCTTTAAGCCCTGTTTATTCGAAATTTTTCCTCTGTTTGAGACCATTTTCAATGGAAGAAAAACATGAAACTTTTATAGCGGTGATGAAAAAATAAGAAATGCTAGCGGCCACCAAGGTGAAAATGAGCGGCGATGAAACAAAGCGAATAGGAACACATATGACATTTCCTTCATAAAACGTGTAACTAGGATTTAGGAAGTTTCTGGCAGTTACGTTGTGTCGTGCAAAACAACGGCAAAGAAATGTACAAAAAAGTGTGCTGCACGTGCAAAGTTGTTTTTTGCTAAATAGATCTGTTGTTTATTTTCCGTTTTCGTTTCCGTCGCCGCTTAGTATTACACGTATTCTGTTTGTGTAAACAATAAGTATATAACACTAAAGAGAGCCACGCTTTTAGCCTTGGCTAAATTTATAGCTTAAGTTCAGTAAATGAAGCTAAGTTTAGTTTTGATTTTGTATAATTCGATCGCACAGTACATCAACACGGATAATTTTTTTTTGTAGCGTTCTATAAAGTATGCTCATTCTTTTATCCTTGTATGATACCTCAGGGGCGGATCCAGGATTTTTTTCAGGAGGGGTGCACTCGTCTCTTGCTCTACTTCAACACCAATAAACCACATATTTTTTTTTTTTTGCAGAATACCAGTTGTATGAGAAAACCGCAGGTCATCTCGGGGAGGGGGGTGCACCCCTGCACCCTCCCCTAGATCCGCCCCTGTACCTTGGTTTTAGTTTTGCAATCCATCGCCAGCTACATCAACACACATAGGCTTACATGTGCCTAGGTTGGAGGTTTATTAAAAAAATTTCCTGTAAATTTTACCAGTAGAAAAATATAAATACGTTATTTGCTAGTCAGGGAGGACTCAGATGAAGGAATATCCTGGATAAGCTTTTCTAACGCCATTTTCCTTTCGACAAACTAACAAACTATTGTTGATGTCGGTAAAAGGCTTTTGTCACTCACAATTCCCCACCATTCCGTACTCAAACTGGATTTGTATCCGCCAGTCAACACCATTCTCCCACTCGTTCTCTAGCAGACAGTGAAGCCTGCGGAGGAGGCTAGAAGCTTCATAAACAGCGGCAAAGAAATGTAGAAAAAAAGTGTCTTGCACGTGGAAAGTTGTTTTTCGCTGATTAGAACTATTAATTTTTTCCGTTCTCGTTGCCGTCGCCGTTTAGCATTATACGATTTTATGTTTTCATTGAGTAAACTATAAGTATACTAAGAAGAGCTTTGCTTTTAGCCCTGGCTAAATCTAATGTAAACAGTTGGGTTATCGAAACTTGCAGGACGTTTTTCAACCATTATTTTGCTTCTTGCGAGAAGTTTAAGCGAGTAACTGATGAAATTCCCTTGAGGTAAAGTTACGCTGAAGCTACTAAATAGCTGTGGACTAAGGGCCTGTTTACATGGAGTGGGGGACCCCGGTCTAGTGGGGTTGGTTTCTTTTGTTTTCACGCTCTGGGGGACAAAAAACAAAAGAAACTTACCCCACTAAACTGGGGTCCCCCACTCCATGTAAACAGGGTCTAAATTACGAAGGCGAATTAAAAATTCTTCGTGACTTATCTTTAGGAGACAGTGGTCACTAAAATGTTATGGTTATTGTCACTTGAAAAAGATGGTTAAAGCAACAATCAGATTAAACGCCGCCATGGCAACATTGGTGGGGCTTGCACTGCTCACTATCTCCTTAGAATCAAAGTTTGTCTCCGTCAGTTTCACGTAGTAGTCATTCCAAAAGAAACTCGACGGGGATTAAATGACGACTTCATCTTGGGAATTGTGTCAACTTGTAGGTAAGCTCTGTGACTCGAATTGTAGCCTTCCCAGGTAATGCCGCTGACTGATTGGGGTGTGGGATCGCCGGACCGGGCAAAGTTTGCGTACGTGGTCATAATAAACAAAGAGACGCTTTGATCAGCGTCGTCGTAAACACCTGCGAAATTCGGTAGGAATGGCCAGCCAAAGTCAAATATCACATTTGCAGCGTGAGGCACACCCATCCATTCGGCTGCCTGTATAGTTTTTGGTCGACGAGCGAACTCGTACATGTAAACCGAAGAAACTCGACTATGAATATCGCCGACCTGGTGACTTGGTGCGAAGTATTCTTTGTCACTGACGAGACTTACTAGCTGGATTCTCAGGGCGTATTTGTCACTGTTATCAGCCACGAGGTGTACATGAACTCCAAGGCATCTGCGATTAGGTCAGCGGTTTGGTTCCTAAAACAAATGATACAACGTGTAAATGATTTGAATGGGCAGTAATGATACTCGAGTTTGGTTTCTGGGTCAGAAAATCAGTTGTTTTGAGGTTGTGAAAGTGTGGTTGTAAATAGAGCTGTTTTTATTCAAAATCATCGAAAAATGATCCCCAGCTTCTCAACAGCTTGAGAGTGTGCCATCTTCAGATGAAAGGGAAATGGCCTCAGCTCATGATCAAGGTTGTCAAAATAGAACAAGAAAAGAAAAAGGAAAAAAGAGAAGAGTTAGAAAGACGAAAACGGTAAATGGCTTGAGCCAGGACTAACATCATAATTAACTGTAAAAGTTGTTCTCTTGAATAGAATTACTGTTCAGTGACAGCGAAGGTGGCCGTGATTATCCTTGCAAAAGGTTATAAATTTTGCCACTTGGAATGAACGTCATATCATGCTATAATTATGTTTTAAATGTACGTTTTGTGCAGAAAACTAACAGAGTGGTGATATAAAATTAGAAATAGTAAACGCCTTTCCATTGATTTCAGAAGCTCTAAATTTCAAAGTTTTTCAGAGACGTTATGTCCTCCGACAAGTGGCGCCGTTGAGTCAGTCGAGTTCGCGCGTAGCGCGAGCTAGCCCCACCGATCAAAATATACTCCGCGGTCCCTGCTGTTGGCGACAGTGCCCCAAGGTTTCAGCGACCTGTGTGGAAGCCTTCTTCCGGTGATAAATTTTGCAATAATAAAAGAAAAACATTCAATATACAGTGTTAGATTAACCTGCTGTTTAGAGCTTGCGAAAGTTTAGCTATAAATGTTTTGAAATAAACCGGGCTGACTCCATTGTCTACGCTCTCTGTCAGGCCGAAAACTTCTCCGCCATGGATTCAAGACTGTCCGCGCTTTCGTTGCTGGTAAAACCAATCATTAACGGTACTCGCTCAAAATCGCCTTTTCCTCGTAGATTTTGAGGTGTATCATGAAGAAAGTTTTTATCCACAACAGGTGCCCATTGAAGGTAATCAACAGACCGATAACTGTTTGTTGACTTAGACGCATTTTGTATGTCAGCGGCGCCTTTCTCTCGTATGCAGTTTACCATAGCATCGTGGCTACCCACTGGACAGTTTAATTTTTGAGAAAGGTCTTTAGCGTAATTGACACCAAATGAAGTTGGTTGAATTGCCCAGGAGCACAAGTCTACACCACTCTCCGCGATAGCTCGGTGGAAAAGCCCCTGGGAAAGAGGCGACATCAAATGGAGGCTTACGCTTGTTGCCCCGGCGCTTTCTCCAAATATGGTCACCTTGTTGGGATTCCCACCAAAATTCTCAATGTTTTCTTTGACCCATTTCAGAGCTTCGACTTGATCCAACATTCCAAAGTTTCCAGGGGACGCGGAATCTCCGGTAGTCAAGAAACCAAATGGACCAAGACGATATTGAATCACTACAACTACCAGTCCCTGAAGAGCCAAAATATCACCGGGCCATGGAAGGGCCGAACCGAGTTCGTAGCCACCACCGTGGATATAAACCATCACTGGGAAACTCTGGCTAACGTTCGGGGTGTAGACGTTGAGATACAAGCAATCTTCACTGTATATGAAATTTTCATTAAAGAGTTTGTCTAGAAATTCGTTGGTTTTATCCTGCCAACAGATCTTTTCGAGCACTTTTGCTTGGCGAACCGTCGGTTTCCATTCGTTTGGCGGCAGTGGTGCCTTGAACCGCAGCTTTCCAATCGGTGGAGCGGCGAAGGGAACACCAAGAAACTTGATGACGGATGCAAACGGAGTGTAGGGATTCGGGTAGGAATCTATCAGGCCCTCAAGATCGCCATACTTGGTTGACACTGTCATCAACTGGACAATAGGGAACATTGCACAAAGTAGCGTAGTGGTCAGTAACATTGCTAGTAGTGAAACTGGCATCGTCAATCGCTTCTTCAGAAATACTTCTAACATTAAAGTAGAAGAGGTGTTAATGTCTCCTATATATCTGTAGCTTGTTAGTGGCAAAGCTGCTTAGAATGCTTGACCGATTTACAATGCCCTCTGCTGGCCCTGAGTAATGTAAAATATTGTCGCACTTCATGGGTCAGGAACCATAATCACACCTTTAGATTAGGGCTCTTTATTTTATTGGTTCATGTCAGTTATTTTTTTTCCTTAAGAGTTAGTTTAAATCGATGAACACTTCGGTTAATGTCATTTAAGGAGAGAGGCGAAAGAAGAGGGAGAGAATAACCGAGAATAGAGACGTCGCTAAACCATATGAAATGCTTGTTGGGCTATTTTTAGTACAAATGGCGCCACCTAGACGCAATGATGTTAAAAAAAAGTAAATATCCACCTCATCGTACTTTCAGTGTTGTTTGAGGTCTAGCCTGTTCCAGGCGTTCAGATAGTGGGGAGCGTTGCAAAGTAAAAAGGAGTCCCTCCCCAGTCCCCCTCTACTTTTCATCGCTTTCTTTACTTCGCACCGCTCTCCACTATCTGAGCGCTTGGAACAGGCTATTTGAGGTCTTGATTTTTGCAGAGCGGTTTTTTTAAACCGACAACACCTAGTAAACCAATCAGACAAACTCGAACAAAATCTACTCAAAGCTATAACACTGACCTCCGTAAAATCCCAGTATGCTGACGTCATTTACTCCTCGCCAGACATGGATGTGGAATGATTACTATTCCACACACTGAAAACCTAAAATTTCATTATACGGGTGTGATGATCATTGAATAGCGTTTCAAGCCCCCCGGGGGGTGGCAAGGGAATGTTTATTCAGATTTTGTCTATCGTATTTTCAGCGATGCGTTTAATGTCTTGCCTCCAATAGATCGGTTCATTGGTAACAAATGCAGTCAGTGTAATAAACCAATCTCAAATAAGGGACTGTTCACATGGAGGAAGCAACTGCTTCAAGTACCAGGAAAATCCTGGTTGGGTCTACATACCGAAATTTTGGTCCGTGTGGTGCCTAAGTAGTGAAGGAATTTAAGATGGCGGATGACAAGAACAAGAATGTAATTTGGGTCCTTCTGCTCTCTTTACTAGCGTTATTAACTACCTTTCAGCAGAATTATAAACAGTTATTGGATGAGGTTTTTCTGATATCCGGAATAATCAAGGTCGAGGTAAGTGTTATCAGCTGAGCCGAAGGCCGAGGCTGACAACACTTACCGAGACCTTGATTATTTAGGATATCACAAAAACCGAACCTAATAATTGTTTTATTATACATTGTTTTGACGAAAAAAACGACAACCACACCGTCGCAAGGAACCTGAATTGGTATTGTTACTGGAAATCATACATTGCGCGCGCAACATACAGACTAGTCTGTTATATCTGCTAGCAGATAAGTAACTAATCTGTAGGTTGTGCACTGATTTCCAAATTTAGCTGTAGGCTCTTAGCCAATGAGAAGACAAATAGTGAGTACAATGTATAATAATCACAATAATTTGTTCGTGGTAACGCCAAACGAATTGGTTGGCCTTGTTGTGATTACCCACTGAACAACCCACCACCATTCTTGTCTGGTTTGTCCCTAGCACTAAGATCTTCCTACCGAAGTGCTAGGGTCTTCCTACCTCTCACTCAGCTGGGAAGATCCACGAGGGATAAGTGCACTCTTTTGGATGTAAACTGAATACACAGAAAACATTTGGTGCAGGGATGAACCGCCTTCTTGGATTTTCCTGGTACTAGGATCCTTCTCCCTCCATGTAAACAACCCCTAAATCTGTGACTTCAACCTGACAGGCCTACCAATTGACATTATTCTTTTCTAGTTATCTCTTTTTCCTGGTATGTTGTGAATCTATTTTATTTCCTTGCAAAGTGTCTCAATTGTACCAGTACACGTATGTCGTGTCCCTCGAACAGTTTTTGCCACATGTGGGCGTGTATGTTTCTTTGTTGTTAATAAAGTTGTTGTGTTGTTCTTTCCGTAACATTGGCTAGATTATCATTATACTAAGATATTTTCGAAGAGGTGAATACTGGCAGCTAATGGGACAAGAAAAACCTTTAGGGGTGGGCTAGGCAAGGTCCTTTAGGGGTAGGCGTTCTTGGGAGCTCTGACGACATGCCATCCGGAATAATTTGAATAATCGGTTTGAATGAATTTCTTCAAGAAACAAAGAAGGGGGCTTAACTGGCAACTTGTCTTTAACCCACTTGACAGATCTTAGCGGTCCGTTGGCCTCCCAAGTCTTCCCTTCGTATCTGTAGGTCGAGTAAGCCTGCCTCGATGTAATCTGATTGCATTTTCAAGTCCTTAGTCTAATAACTGAAAGCACTCTACCAAAACTGGACCTTTAAATGAGCTCGCACAGGTTCAGACTTGAAATTTTACTCAAAACATAGACACAATTTCGAGAACCAAACAGTTTTCTTAAAATCACTGACAGTTTTAGATGCACCACCAGGCATGTCATCTATCAGTGGCAGAACAGGGAGAAAGCTAGGCCACCGCTTCCGTTAACATCTTCGAGAAATGAAAATAGTCACTATAACTACTCGATCGTTCTAATGAGGAGATGACGATCCGCAGTCTAGCTTTCCCCACACCAAGGTAAGACAGTAAGCCAAATCAAGAACGTAAACGAAAGAGTTTTATTGAGCTAATTTGTCTGTTGTTTATTCATTTTAACATTTTCCTACTACTTAAAATTGATTTACCCTTGGGCTAGTTTTCGAAACGTCATCAATATATTATAGTGAATTTACTTTATCAACTCGGTTGATCAATTAGAAAGCTGCCAGTTTTCGGTTCATTCTCCAACCCACATATCACTTCAGTTTCTTTTAAAAAGACACGCTAAAAAACAGAATTAAACACGTAATAAAATGTTTAAAAAAGTGGGTGACTTGTTCAATGAACGCCATTCTCTACTCGAGAAACTGCGAGGAGAATTGGTACAAACTTTCGGCGCATTGAGTTCTGCGATTGTTTAGGTAGACAATCGTTAGTTAGGAATAATCTATAGTACTAGAAGCAACCAGTGACCTTATTCCTCATACTGTCCACCAGAATGATCCCCAAAACCTTTGCTTGAAGTGTTTGTCTAAGCCATTCTCACTGTGAAACTAAATATCGGGTTAATACGTTAGTTCACTTGATTTCTGGCACGGTAGAGCCTCCATTGAAATCGGGACAAGTGTTCCTCATCAACCGCATATAGCGTTTAATACTATGTATTTTCTCCATGATATTGACTTGTGTGCTGCCATTCCTACTTGTGGTTACAAAAAATTAAACACATTCAGACGTCCTAACTTATCTTAAGGGACTTGGGGTTGCAGTCACCGTTCAGTAAATGTGTTAGGATCACGCAATTAGCAGGGATTCGACATCAAGGAACATGAAAGAGAATTGGGAGATCGCTATAAAGCTCAGTTACTGTCAGTAAGAAGACATTCTAGCAGCCAGTACAGGTCGTGCTTCTAGAGCAATGTCGGAGTTGTCTACGAATGGTCAAGTTTGCCATCTACTGCTTTTACATTGTTCGTACAAATTCAGACAAACAAATTTCAAGGACTTTTCAAGGTTAAATTACAGTTTTAAAGGACTAAGATTTATTCAATAAATCGGCTTGTTTTAACCCCCTTTTGAAAACCTTATTGGCTAAAACACTTAACGGAATCAAACACGATGTTTTCTTCCTCAGCCATGGTTGATCACAGTTATTTTTTACTACTTTCCATAACAACGCTTTGCAAAAAGGCAATAGTCACTGAGTATAACTTAGTGCAGTTGCATATGAGGTACAGATTATAGCATTTAAAAGAAAGATACAGAAATAAAATATTGTTCATGCACAAAAATGTTTTTACGTTACCCGTAAGTTTTAAAGGTTCTTACACCGCGGATGAGCCAAATTTTCCTTGGCGAAATAATTTAATTTTAAAGAAAATGGTGTAGCGTAAAGAAGGTAGTGAATTTCAAGGACTTTTCAAGACCTAATAAAGAAATCAAGTACTTTTCAAGGACCTTAACCGAATTCAACGACTTTTCAAGAGACTACTAACATGCAAGACCTTCTCAAGGTTGTACGAACCATGTTTTACATGTTAAGGTGGATTTCCAGTGTCCTGAAATTTTTACGTGCGTGGGCGCTTAAATTTTACGCGCATAAATAAAATAGAGGCAATGTATTGAAGGTCGCGCGTGAACGTAAAAGTCGAACCTCGCTCAACTTTTACGTTTGAGCGCACCTTTCACGCATTGCTTCTATTTTATTTACGCGCGTAAAATTTAGGTATGTACGCAAGTAAAATTTACGCGAAAGTGGAAATTCACCCTTAGGCGGGCAGCGCTTTATTCGTGGTTTTATGAATAATTCTTGGAAACTTGCTTTCTATAATATTGCAAATTGCAAGCCAAAAATGGTAAGCGTGTTAAATCTTCTGTCAAATGATAAAACTTTGAACAGTTAGGGCAACAGTGATGATTAGATTAAAATAAATAATAAAAAAATTGCTAATTTCCCACTTTTGATCACGGTCAATTATCAAGGTAGATAACAGCTTCATTCCAGAATTTTATTCGAATTTATCTAATTGTTACACCGTTCTACTGCATCTGTTGCCTATTAAACATTGCTCTGCTATTAAAGCATCGCTGAAAGTAGGACAAATACAATTTGACTAAACGTTCCCATGGCAACCAAGGGGCTGGCATCGTTCTTTACAGCACCTGTAGTATCAAATTTCAGTTGCTTAAGTTTGGGATAATAATTATTCCAGAAAGACATTCTGCGAGGATTAAATGACGCCTCCATCCTATGATTTATGTCAACTCGTAGGTAAGCTCTTTGACTGGAGTTGTACTTGTCCCAAGGAATACCGCTGACAGTAGGATCGCCGGAGCGTGCAAAGTTTGCGTACATAGCCATTATAAAACCACTGACGTTTCTATCGGCATCGTCAAAAGCAAACCCAAATTTTGGAAGGAGGGGAAGTCCAAAGTCGTACGGTACGTTATCACCATGGACCACTCCCGTCCAGGTTGGGTTCTGATTGTACTTCACTCGGCGGTGAGCGAACTCGTACATATACACAGGGGCAGTTTGACTGTGAATGTCAGCGACCTCGTGACTAGGTGCAAAGTAGATGTAATCACTGAGAAGGTCTATAAGTTGCGTTCTCAGTGCATATCTATCACTGTTGTCTGGCCATGGGATGTACATGAACTCCAAGGCGTCTGCGATGAGGTCAGTGAGCTCTACTCTAGAAAGTACATTTTGATGTTGCTGTTAGAACATTGATCATGATTTAGAAAATTACGTTATTTAAGCAATAGAAACCGTTTCCGTGTTTGCATAGCCTGATATCAACACGAGAGAGGTTAGGAGAATTCGAGACAGTTATGCAAACCCAAGACGAAGTCGAGGGTTTACATAACAGTCGAGAATTCTCCCAACGCCTCGAGTTGTTATATCAGGCTATGCAAACACAGGAAAATAGTTTTCTATTGCTTTTATAAAATAAATTTCCCGAGAAAAAACGCAAAACTCTTTGTATGGCACTGATTAAAAGAGAAATTCTTACCAGTCGAAAAGTCTTATCCCCGAAGTCTTGCACGCTTAATTCAGCTTGTTTTATAAAAAGATGCTTTCCAAAATACGGACTTTTCTCGCTTAAAATGACAGCTTAAGCGAAAAAAAAAAAACGACACACTTTCTTTGTAACGATTTTCCAAGTTTCAGCCGACGAAGGAATGGGTAAAGTAAACTTGTAGAGTTTTGAACTTGAAAGCTTTTTCAAATTCGTGCTTTCGTGATTAGCGCGCGAAAAGCAAAACATGTTGACGTCACAATCATGTTTACATACTCTCATGCAAACACTCCTCTCAGCCAATCAGAGCGCGCGTTCTATCTTAGTTATTTTATAATTAAATATAAGGTGTTTTAACCCTGGCCACTATAAAAATATGAAGGTTTTTTGAAGAAAACTGTGGTGCTTTACTGCTCGGGAGTGGAAGAAGGGCTGAATTAAAAACATAATTGAGATGCCGTAGCCACCATTCAGGGGGATCCTTTGAGTGTAAATTGTAAACGGCGCAACATTGAACACCCGGAAAGAGTAAGAAACGACCGATATCATCTTCTATCTTACCTCCTTTGGAGAGAATGAGTAAACACCTTGATTAACGTTTTGAAAAAGGCCTGGCTTACTCCAGAGGACGAACTGTTGAATAAAACGCCAACAATCTCCGCGGTTTCCTGGCTGTTAAAGCTGATCATGAATGGCTTTGACTTGAAATTCCTTTTGTATCGCAAATTTCGAGGTGTGTCATGAAGAAAGTTTTTGTCCACAACGGGCGCCCAGGTCAGATAGGCGGGCAAACTTTGGGTATTTGCAATTGCGTCTGCGGCGATTGAATCGGCAGCTTTCTTTATATCTGAAGCTTCTTTTTCACGTAAGCAGTGTATCATAGCATTTTGGTCTTTGTCAGCACAGCTCAGTTTTTCAGCCAGTTTTGCAGCGTTGCTGACACCAAATGAAGTTGGCTGAATCGCAAAGCTACTCAAATCTACTCCACTCTCTGCGATAGCCTGATGGAAGAGATCTTTTGAGAGGGGGGACATCAGATGAAGGCTTACGCTAGTTCCGCCGGCACTTTGTCCAAATATGGTCACCTTGTTGGGATTGCCGCCAAAATTCTCTATGTTGTCCTTGATCCACTTTAGTGCTTCCACTTGATCCAGCATTCCAAAATTTCCAGGAGCAGCCGAATCCCCGGTCGTCAAGAAACCAAATGGCCCAAGGCGGTATTGTATGATAACCACTACCAGCCCTTGTAATGCCAATATATCGCTAGGGGATGTCACAGCTGAACCAAACTCGTAAGCCCCGCCATGAATGTAAACCATGACTGGCAAATTCAAATTTACGTTCGGGGTGTAGATGTCAAGATAAAGGCAGTCTTCATTGTAGACAGGACTTTCTGTAAACAATTTGAGGTACTCATTATAGAATGCAAAGCTTCCCATCTGCAAACAGATGTTTCCACGCGTTTTAGCCGAATAAACCTTTGGTTTCCATTCCTTTGGCGGTTGTGGGGCTTTAAATCTTAGCTCTCCGATCGGTGGAGCGGCGAAAGGAACGCCAAGAAACTTGCTAACGGATTTGAAAGGACCGGAGGCATACGGATGCGATGTCACGAGACCTTCAATGCTTCCGTAGTTGGTGGACACTATAACTGACGGAACGCAAGGCAAAAATGCACAGAATATGAAAATGGCTGTGGGTGATGTCATGGCACTTCCTCGATCTTCTAGAATTATAGAGACTAAAAAAACGTTGCTCATAAATTCAATCAGCAACTTATGAGCTATTGCGAAAGACCTGGAAATAAATATGCTTCCGGGGGAGGGGGGGACTCCCTTATATAAGCCATATAGGGTATGTGCCGCCCCAAAGAGTAAGGTTTTTGAACCGTTTTGTCTGAAAACGGGTTTTGACTTTGCCCATTTTGGTCTAGAATCGGGTATGGTTTTCGAGGGAACAATGCATTTATCGTTTCAATTCCAAATGAGTAAGAAAGAAAGAGAAATATGAGAATTCGAAATAGATTTTACAAAATCTTAAGCAATTTTTTTATAGCTGTCCTTACGAAAGTTATGATGACATGATTTCTTAGAAGCCAGGACTTAAAACGGTGTGAAAAATATCACTTTTTGGTCTAAGGAAGGGGTCCGGATTTGGAGAACGGGGAACACACGTCCACCAAGAATTCCCAGGAACATCCCCCCGGGATATGCACATCAGTGTTATATAAGTGACCCACTGACTGGAGATGAGTAAGTGTTTAAAGAGGTCAAGTGTCGGCATTCTAATATCAAAATATCACACTAAAACCATTGCGTGACGCGAAACTATCTCTACTGATTACACTGAAGCTGAAAAAGTAACAAAAACAAAACAAAACAAAACACTCATTGGAAAATTAGTTAGAATGGAAGAGCAACAACAACAGACTGTGGTGGAATCAGATCTTTAAGTAAGTTAGCGGGGGTGAGGGGCGCATCCAGTACTTAGGAAAAGAGTGAGGCAGGCCTCGAAAGTATTTTTTGTTGGCCCTGCGGGCCCCAGTTTGACCAATAACAGGAGCTCATCACCATCTGGGTGATGGGCTCCTGCCAATAAGTAGGTGGAGCCCCGAGATCCTCCCCTAGATCCGCAACTGAACGGTAAACAGTATAGCCTAAGACGACTACTTCTTCTACAACCGCTCGAGTGTGAAAAAAGGAGAGTGAACAAGTGGTAGAGGAGTGTGGAAAGAAAAAAATAGAAAGTGTGTCCGGAATATGACTAGGAAGCGGCCGTAAACCCTTTGATATTAGGGCTGATTTAGCAACAGGACAGGAAGGTCAGTTGACGACGGGAAAGCGCGCGGAAAGGACTAAACACGACTTCCGGTGCTCAATTTGCCGCTCTGCCTTTGGTCAAGCCAGTTGTTTGATTTGCATTTGCGCGCGCCGTCGTCAACTGACGTTCCCTTCTGTTGCTAAATTAGCCTATTGCTACTAAACTGTGATCTGATCATGAAGCAGAAGCTACGCGTAGTTCTTCATTTTCTTCACGAAAAGAAAATGGAGCAAACTTCCTCTAGCGCGCGTGAAAATTGCTTCCCTAGGGGAAAGTGACACAGCGTAGCCTGCGTGAAAGGCACAAAAAATGGGAGGGGAGGGGGAGAAAAGCGCGAAAGGGAGAAGGGAGAGGGTTCCTATGAGGGCTCCTCCCCCCCAATCCCCCCTCTCCCTTATTCCACTTCCTCCCCCTCCACTTCCCCCTCCCTGAAGTAGCGCTCTGTGCATAAATAAAAGGTAAAACAACTGAACAACCTGGTTCGTCAGTACCTTGTGAACAGAGCCAAAATGTTAAACGGTTCTAGTTTAAAAACCGAATGTTTAGGTTGTTTAAGTTATTCGCAAGTATACGTATTGGACATCCCACAATGCCGTGCGTGCTCCTTTGCTGGTGTTTTGATGCCCAGACTTATGTTCGGTTTTTGTTGAAATCCTGTAGCATCATAGAGATTAAGCTTTAAAATACGGAATTTAATAAGTATGCTCTCAAAGTTTTCAGTCTGATTAAAAAATTCAACTGGTGCTTTGCAGAAGGTAGTATAATACACACGGAAAAAACAAAGAACTAATGGGTACCAGTATTATAAAAACGGAAGGTCAAAATATTGTTATGGTGTTGTAAACCGTAAAATTCTGGGCGATTAATAATTGTCCATAAGTCATGACTTTAGTTCCTTCTTGAATGTTTCTGAGAGGGAGAAACTTTTAATTTTTGTCATCACTTTACTTTTACAAAGTTTAGAACCCTGAAAGCTTATAATTATATGTTGAAAATGCCATAATCATAAAGGGTAAGTCATTTTACAGGTCTAACAGAACAACATATTGCAATAAATATGTCTAGCCGATTTTTTGAAAACAAACACAGTGCGAGAATTACAGCCGTTTGCCTGAAAAAGGGCCAAAGGGCAGGTTTTGGCCTGAAAATCGCACTAGCAAAGGAGAGGATGATTAGAAAGAGCGGGGAGGGAGAAAGGAGGAATTTTTTTTTCTTATAAAAGCAATGGTCGTAATCTTAGTTGTTGTACTGTCTACTTTGGACAGTTTTTGTCATAAAAAAAAATGCTTGACGGAAGAGGAGAACAAAATTCGGCCAGATTTATTTCTCTATTGGAAGTAAAAAGGGGATCAAGAACAGAGGCTAAAAGGTGGTGAGTGAGTGAAGCTTGGACGAGATATTTCACAGTTTGGCTACTCACAAATCAGTTAGTTGTTCTTTCTTTTTTTAAAAAAAAAAAGGGGAAAGACTTTATCACTATCGTTTTCGGCAGGGTTATGGGCTCCTGTTTTCGGTTAGCTAAATAAAGTTACAATATTATCAAAATAAGGAAGCATACAATCTGGGCAAGAGCTTCCATCGTAACGCGATGTACACCGCTGACCACGTCTTCTTTGGTACTAAATTTCAGCTGCAGCAGCTTAGGATAGTAATCGTTCCAGAAAGACATTCGACGAGGATTAAACGACGATTCCATACTTGGATTTACGCTAACTTGTAAGTACGCTCTGTGAGTGGAGTTAAACTTCGCCCAATCAATACCGCTGACCAGCTGCGCTGTCGGATTGCCAGTCCTGGCGAAGTTAGCGTACGCCGCCATGATGAACAAGCTGACATTCTTGTCAGCTTGGCTGTCTTGGAAGGGCCATATAGGTACCAGAGGGTATCCAAAATCATATGCTGCGTTAACGCCATGGTCGACACCAATCCACTCGGGTGTGAAACTGAACTTTGATCTATGAGCAAACTCGTACATGTAAACCGGGGCAACTTGACTGTGGATAGTGGCTACTTTGTGACTGGGAGCAAAGTAGTAGTAATCACTGATTAGGTCAACAAGCTGGCTTCTCAGTGCGTACCTATTACTGGTGTCAGGCCATGGGGTGTACATGAATTCCATGGCGTCCGCGACGACATCGGCTGTCTTTTTACTGAAAAAGGACGAAAGCATATTAAGTGTTTTGTAAGGTTTTCATTGTACTTGATCACTAAGTTTGCCAAACGTTATTTTTATTTAATGACTGAGTAGAAAAGACTACTAAAGGTGCCATGAAGTTTCTAATGCCCCTAAACATTCTGTTAAAAACGAAAGCCGACCCAAACGAATCGAAAGATCTGTAACCGCCAAAGGCACCATCCACTAGGGTGGTCTGAGGGCATGCCCACACCCCCCACACCGACAAGAAAAGCTTGAAATCTGCAGTCTCTGATGAAAATCTATTTTCAGCATTTTTCATAAAATGTTTCTTCAGAAAATATCTCCTTCATCCAGGGATATGCTCTCTCAACCACATTAAACTGAATAATTGTTTTAGGAAGCTACGGCCCTGAATCATAGACATGTTAATTTTACTAACCTGCTGTGCCGAACATAGGCGTACTTCTTGAGAAACGTTTTGAAGAAATCCGGACTCACTCCATTGTCCACACTCTCCATGATTCCCATATAAGACATGTTCACCATTATCCCCAAAGCTCCTCCGCCTTCGTTACTGTTAAAGCTGATCATGAAAGTCGCATTCTTAAAGTTTCCTGTCGCTCGCAGTTTCTGGGGCGTGTCATGAAGGAAGTTTTTGTCAACCACCGGACCCCACTGTGTGGGATCCACGATTTCAAATCGCGTTGATTTTAAGGCTTTCAGTATGTCCTGGGCTTCTTTCTTGCGCAGACAGGTAACCATTGCACTGTGGTCTGTCGTAGGACAGTCCAAAATCCGAGCAAGCTCCTTAGCGTTACGGACACCAAAGGATGTTGGCTGAAATGCCTGAGGGCTCAGATCAACACCGCTCTCTGCAATGGCTTGGTTGAATAGTTCTCTTGATAGAGGAGACAGGAGATGGAGACTAACGCTTGTTCCGCCGGAGCTAGCTCCAAAGATGGTCACCTTGTCGGGATTCCCGCCAAAATGCATAATGTTTTCTTTGACCCACTTCATTGCCTCCACCTGGTCCAACATTCCATAATTTCCAGGGGACACGGAGTCTCCGGTTGTCAAAAATCCAAATGGACCAAGACGATATTCTATCGCTACAACTACAACTCCGTGTAGGGCTAAATGATCGCCGGGATAAGTAATTGCGGTACCAAACTCGTAACCTCCACCGTGAATGTAAACCATCACTGGCAAACTCAAATTGACGTTCGGGGTGTAAATATCGAGGTACAAGCAATCTTCACTGTATGTGAAATTGGGGTCGAATATTTTCGTAAATAAGTCAAGCAATTGACCCTGCCAACAGATGCCTCCATGCTTCTTTGCTTGGCGAACTCCTTTCCATCCATTCGGCTGTTGTGGGGCTTTAAACCTTAGCTCTCCAATCGGCGGAGCAGCGAAAGGAACCCCCAAGAACTTGCTTATTGATTTGTACTGACCAGAAGCATTCGGGTATGAGGTTATAAGACCTTCGATCTCTCCATATTTTGTTGACACAGTCACGGCCGGGACGAGAGATAGACACGAAAAGAATATTAACAACTTCGTTAGCTGAACAACAGCCATGCTTCTACTCGAGGAAAATGCTACGTTCTGAAAAATACTTCTGTGCACTGCTTATATTCTTCACGCAGGGGCGGAGTAAAAGTCACGAAACATGAGAGTACGTCATACAACAAAGTGAACGTATGTTGTTATTTATGGCATAAACGTGATATTAATTATCTATGTAATTTATGCAGTGATACAGTGTATATATTTATGTTTTTCGTGTCACGGTATCATGAGCAATTGAATAATTTTCTACAAATTTACTGAAATGTGCTGAAATGAAGAGTCATACCGAGTTCTCTTATATTATTGCGCACTTAGATACATTCACGACCTTCACAGAAAAACTCTAGAAGAAAATAAGGAACACACAAACAAATAAAAAAAGCTTCAAAACGTGCATTTTACAGCCTGATCGGTTGAACGGTGAGACAACAAAGTCAAAAGAAGGTTGCGTGCAAGTTGCTCTGAGTTGAGGTGAAGCTTTCTAAAAGCATTAGTGATTATGTGAAGTACAAAATTAGAAGTGAACAAGCTTGAATAGATATCCTTGTGTTTTTTTCCTTAAAAGGAAATTATTTGCTGCTGTCATGTCAAGAGGCTAGAAGCCCGATTACGATTCCTCAGTCAGGTTGGTGGATGTTATCACAACTGTCTGAAAAACAGGTTTATACCATAAAGAAATGCAGACGAATAAATGACCCCTTAAACGGCTCTAAAAACTTGATTTATCTCGTTGATTGCATACGACATCGGAGAGCCCAGCGCCAAGTCAAGCACGATCATAGCCAATCATCACCTCTATTTACAACACGTGGTGTCATTTGCTCTTTCAATAGTCCGTGACTCTGTCGGGAGGCTCGGGCGAGGATCGAGAAAGCACTAAGAGTAATCGTATAAATAGACGTGATGAATGTTCACTTGGTCTCTCCCTCGTATATTGTTTACCGCGCTTTTTACCATCAATTAGATCAGATTAGATGAAACAACATACTATTAGCCCCTTTCAAAGCTTGGCCGATTATTTTTCAAAAAATCTGGACTCGAGTTAGCGGTGAGAGCCGGACTTGAACTCGCTTGTCCTGATTGACTGAACTTATCAATTGCAACTAACATTTTCCCCGATAAATGGAAAATCGGTCAAGTTAAACAACTGCACAAAAGTGGTCAGCAACGTGAAAGAAACAACTGTCGCCCCATACCAGTGCGACAAATTCTATCTAAAATCCTCGAAAAACATGTAGGAAACTTATAAAGATTCCGCGAAGGAATCGAAAGCTTGTATCAGGAAGTAGTTTTTTTTCCTACCCTGTAAATTGAATCTTCGTTTATTATATCACCATGACGGTATTAAGTAACTCTTTTTTCGCTAAAATGTAGCAAACTCGCAATTAAAATGTCTTCAAGAGAACAATTTGCTGTATGAATTACATTCAGCTTTCCGTTACGTTCTGGTCATTCCACTGAAACGGCACTTATCAGAATCAAGGAGGCGAAATTTTGTTTAAAATGGATGATGATGAAGTCACGGGACTAGTATATGTTGATTTCGGTAAAGCTTTTGAAGTAATCGATCACAATCTACTACTGAAGAAATTATCAGTTTACGGTGCCAGCCCAGATAGATGAATTATGTAAGAAAATGTCAAAACGACGTGGACTTTTGAGGCATATTAGTCGACCTTACCTCACGCAAAGCCACGTAGTAATTTTCTGTCTCGCTGCTATAGCGCCAGTTATGTTGTACCTCAGTCCAATCTGGTCATCTTAATTGCAGTAAGGAATTGCTAGCAAGAAAGAGTCTTACGGATGCAAAAAAGAGCTGCACGCATTATATTGGACGCCTGAAGAAACAATAAAGAACATCACGCACGTTAACTATGAATTTTTTAACCACAGAATTGCTTCTGTTCCATCCTCCTGGGGTCTACTGCTTCCATCCCGAGTTCCATACTCCTTGGAATACTGGCCAGGAGTGTGTACATACCGTTCTTTCTTCTTTGTCGGTGATAGTTTTGGAACCCCACTTCGAGCTGTCAAAATGATGTAAAGCATTGAGATCGTATCACTTCTCACTCTGACCAGAGAACTAAGTAATTTCCAAGAGATGAATTAGGGATGAAGATGGGTCCGTTCCAGTTCAAGCTATTATTGTTAACACCGATGTCTTTAACCTTTCGATAACCTTGGTTGTTTCTGCACCTTTTTTTGACAAGATTAAAAAAGTCAGGTTGTTATTGTTACTGTTGACAGTTTGGTTTGCTCAATAACTAAAAGCACGTCAACATTTTGTGTTTGATAGGATGGTTTTGTAGCTGTACCAGAGTTAGCGCTCAATTCCCGGGTCAATTGCATCCAATCTCCCAATTACCGGGCCGGCAATCGAACGTGTTTCATGGATTTTGTTCGATTGTGTTCGATTGATTCGATCAATGAGTTCGATTAGTTCGTTAAACGAACTCACAGAAAATTTCCTTGTTCGATTATGTTCGATTACTGAATCAGTTTGAATCAATCGAGCTCAATCCATAAATTGAGTTCGATTAAGTTCGATTGAGTTCGATTACCGAACGTTCGATTAGCTACGCCGGGTTTGGTTAGATGTACGCATTCCAAACCATCAAAAATGTTCCAGATGCTCTCTACCATATTCTAGCAATGTCCTGCGAAGGTCCTGCACGGCTCGGAGACTGAGGCCGTGGCTCCAAACGAAGACTTTTGGATCAAGGAGGGTCTGGGTGGGGGGGTTCAAATGTCAGTTGTCAGTTAAAATTTTGGCCATTTGTCAGCTGTTAGTTAATCCCACCCAGACCCTCATCAAGTGTCCAGGAGAAACAACTGTGAAATATATGACCCACCATTACAAAAATTATGGCCTTTGGAGTGAGGGGAGGGGAATCCTCCGTTTGAACGAACATTTTTCTTAGCCCATGCCACGGCCAAAGAAGAAAAAATGCCTAAACCATTTCCTTGATTTTAAAATCACTGATAACTTGTTTGAGTGTCATTTTTAAAAATACTCCTTTCGTTTTACATACATTAACTTAAAATGGATAAAACAACGACGGCGGCAGGCTTTTCCAGTTAAAATTCGAAAAGTTAACTCGATACTCGTTCTACCGTTCTAGGCATTAAGCAGAGTTGTGTTCAAGGCAGTTTTCTTTCTTTTGTTAATTTTATGAATAATCTATCAGAAGGTGTTCAAGGCAAAAGCTTCCTAAAAAAGTTTAGAATGTCGTATTGATAAAACATATACTCCGGTAAGGAGCCAGGAAAGAAGGCTTTTCATTCTCAGTGGTAAGTACAGAAGAAAAGCAATCTGCTCTCGGGAGAGAGACCTCAACTATACAGACTTTTCTTAATCATTCTCGATATAATATTTAAAACAGCTTCATGAAATGTCTGCAAAAATGATTTTACAGACATTTTGTTTTCTCTGTGAGAAAGAGAGGAAAATTTCCACCTTTATAAAGAGTCTGTAAGTTTAAAAATTATAGACATATCTTGTTATCTCTGTAAAAGGTCCAGTGTTAGTGTGAGGAATGCCGTGCCTATTTTAAATCGACAAAGCTGCCAAAAGTTAGAGAGATTTAGGGAGACGTTAAAAGGCAAAACAGTCGTTATAGACAAAACTAACGTGAAGTTAGTTATTTTATGGTAAAAGTAATGAATAGCATTTGGAGAGATCTCCCCCCCCTTAGAAAAATCGATTTTTTTTACTGAGGGGAGGGGCGAGGGCTCTGCACACAGGCTCAGTAATGAACAGTAAAGCATAAGTCAAGGATAAAATTGGTCAAGTGGCACAAATTGACGCTCGCCGTTTGCCGTAAAAGTGACCACTATCTTGGTGTCGAACTTCAGCTGTACCAGTTTAGGATGATAATGATTCCAGAAGGCCATACGCAGCGGGTAAAACGTTGAAGCCATCTTGGGATTTGGGTCCACTCGCAGGTACGCCCTGTGGCTTGAGTTGTAGCCACTCCAAGTAACACCACTGACCGACTGTGGTGTTGGATCACCGGTCCGTGCAAAGTTTACGTAGACGGCCATAATAAACAGACTGACATTCCTGTCAGCTGCGTCATATCGGAAACCGTCCGGTGATAGTGGTATACCAAAGTCAAAAGGAACATTGTCAAGATGGACCACACCCATCCACGGAGCTCCAATGGTGACCTTCGTATCATGAGCGAACTCGTACATGTACACTGAAGCATATCGGCTGTGAATATCAGCGACTTCGTGACTCGGTGCGAAGTAGAAGTAATCACTGATGACGTTGACAAGCTGGTTTCTCAGTGCATATCTATCATTGTTATCCGGCCATGGGGTGTACATGAACTTTAAAGCGTCTGCGATAACGTCAGCGGTCTTCTCTCTGAGGAATAAATCAGCGGAAATCTTTTTTATGAATATTAAAAAAGTTGTAACAGCAACAACAACAACAAAAGAGATAGAAAGGAGAGGCACTTTCATCTTTTTTGAGCCACTTATCAAGGTAGAGTAAAGTTATAGTGTGTAATTACACTGATTTGGTCAGAATTTGTCTCGAAGAGTTTATCAAAGCATCATTGTCTCTTATCTCAGCTTTCATTTACATCGGGCAGATTATGAAACAAAATGCTCTTGAATTTCGGTTGACATAAACACTGGCGCCTTGACCATCCAATGCTTCTTAAGGAAGAGGCTCAAAGTTTGGGAGAGAAAAGAAGTAGGCTTTGTGAAATTTAGACTTTGTAAGGGTCCGTTTTAATTTTCATCCCTCATTTTCGCAACTTCAGTTCTGCGTTCAAAACAGTGGTTTAGTGGGAAGTCTATGTGACTTCTAATTCATCAGATATGTATGATAAAAAAGAAAAAACTAACCCGGATAATAAAAAAACAGTATACTTACGAGTAGCCCAAGTTACGAGCATGCGCAAGCCTTGATAAGAAAGTGCAAAAAAAGGAAGAGTTGACTCCTTGTTCTACACTACCCATCAACTTCAAAGAGTTGGCCATGCCACCAAGAATGATTCCAGCCTCGTTACTATTAAAACTTATCATGAGCGGCGTTTTCTTGAAACTTCCCTTTTTTCGCAAATTCTGAGGTGTGTCATGGAGAAAGAATTTGTCTACCACAGGTGCCCACTGAAGATAATCAACCAAACGATAGTTGGATGAAGTAGAAGCTTTCTGTACGTCTACAGCGTCCTTCTTGCGTATACAACCCACCATTTTTTTGTGGTTTTCCGTTGGGCAGTTCAGTTTTTGAGCAAGTTCTTTAGCGAAGCCAACCCCAAATGAAACGGACTGTGTTGCCCAGGGGCTCACGTCGACGCCACTCTCCGCAATGACCTGATGAAAGAGGCCATCGGACAAAGGCGATAACAAGTGAAGCGTCACGCTCGATCCACCAGCACTTTCTCCAAAAATAGTCACCTTGTTAGCGTTACCTCCAAATTTGTCAATATTGTCCTTAACCCACTTTAGCGCTTCCACCTGATCCAGCATTCCAAAGTTTCCAGGTGCGGCTGAGTCTCCAGTCGTCAGGAAGCCAAATGGACCCAGGCGATACTGAATCACAACGACCACCACTCCCTGAAGAGCCAATACCTCGCTAGGATACCCAATCGCTGCACCTGATCCATAGCCTCCGCCGTGAATGTAAACCATCACTGGTAAACTCAAGCTGATGTTTGGAGTGTAGACGTCGAGATACAGGCAATCCTCACTCACCGTGTAATTTCTTCCGTAAGGGTTGAAGATAAATTCAAAAGTTGTGTCCTGCCAGCAGATATTTCCATGGGTTTTAGCTTGACGAATGTTCGGCTCCCACGAATTTGGTGGCTGTGGAGGTTTTAGTCTAAGTGTTCCAATCGGTGGAGCGGCGAAAGGAACGCCTAGAAACTTGCTGACAGATATAAATTGCGTGGAGACACTTGGGTAGGAAGGCATGGTCAGACCTTCGATCTCTCCATAAGTTGTTGACACTCTCAACACACTGATCGAGGCGACCACAGACAAAACTGCACACAAAAGGAATAGTATTGTGAGTTGAATCGCCATGATTCTTTTGAGATAGGGCTTCTCTTGAAAGTTTGTAGACTTGCCTGAGTTGCTAGCACAGGTACGTGCTGATTACTTGTGCTTAACCTTTACCACCGTACGCTGAGGGGCTTATATCATCACTTGGTCCCCCTTGAATGCACACCATGACTCTCAACTTACTCGTGATAAAATTCACGAGAGGCCACGTCAGGGAGTGGGTTTGTACATCACGTTGCAAAGCAGGGCAGTGTTACTTCTGAAGATGTCTAATAATTGCAAGGTCATATTTGTAACTTAGGTCATGTTCGTTTCTAGGTAGACTGGGTGCAGAGGTCTTCTGTTTCCTCGGTGTAACAAAGACAGTTAGGAGATATCTGTAAGCATGAGAGGCGTATTTCTAGTTTAATATTGGCCAGTTAATGAACGGTGCTTGTACGTGCCAATAAAAGAAAAAATAAATAAAAATCGTTACGGACGAGTAAAACGCCAATAGCCCGCAAAAGTTGCGTTTTATTTCTAAAAAAAACACTTGAGGAGGTTAAAAGTTGAAAGAAGGACAAAAAGATACCATACACACCGCACCCAGGCAAATATAAAAATCTCTCGAGGCGCATACTAATCAGATATGTACGACACAAAGAAAATGTAGGATAATATAAACTTCATTATTAACAAAAGCCGCCCTTCTTGTCATATCGACCAACTCCAAATTGATGACAAAGAATATTTACAACCAAATTCTATTTCTAATGTTATAAATAAATATTTCTGCAACATACCTAGTCGACTTGCCTCTAAACTGCCTAAATCAAATCGTTATTTTGGCTCTTTTTTAAAATCGACTGGATCTAAATTTAGTTTTACATTAATGCATGAAATAGAAGTTTTTCTAATTCTTGATAATCTTGATGGTAAAAAGTCGTTTGGTGTAGATAAACTTCACCCTTTTTTGGCCTCAGTTGGAGCATTTCAAATTTTTCGTCCTATAACGTGTATAATTAATTTGTCCATCAAGCAAAGAACTTTTCCTGATAATCTAAAACTCGCTAAAGTGATTCCTATCTTTAAACAGGGATCCCGTTCACTGTGTGATAATTATAGACCAATATCAGTTCTTCCAGTATTAAGTAAAGTTTTTGAAAAATGTATTTATAATCAACTTATATCTTATTTTTCGTCTGAAAATATTATCACTCCTACTCAATATGGGTTTAAGCCAGGCAGTACCACTGTGGACTGTCTTGTTGATCTCATTGAAGAAATCTCTACCTCTCTAGATCAAGGAGATTATGCTGTATCAATATTTTTAGATCTGAGTAAAGCATTCGATACCGTCAATCATTCGATTTTATTATCAAAGCTATCGTTCTTTGGCATTCAAAAACCTCATATCGACTGGTTCAAATCGTATCTTAATAAAAGAAAGCAGAGAGTTTTTGTAAATGGTAACATTTCTGACACCATGCCAATTTCTTCTGGTGTACCTCAAGGATCAATTTTAGGACCGTTCTTATTCTTGATATATATAAACGACTTTACTCAATCTTCTGATTTCTTCTCCATGAGACTATTTGCAGACGATACCTCTTTAACAGCGTCAGCTAAAAATATAGACGAACTCTTATTAAAGATAAATAAAGAACTACCTAATATTTATGACTGGCTATGTGCAAATAAATTAACCTTAAATCTAAGAAAAACTAAATATCTTATCATTCAACCTCGTCAGAAAGTAGATTATAATTTATTACCTTCGCTATCGATAGCTGGCCAATGCTTAGAGCAAGTATCCAAAATTAAATACTTAGGTATCTATATTGACAGCCACCTATCCTGGCATGACCATATCGACTATGTTTGTGATAAAGTCAGTAAGTATTAATATTATGACAAAGATAAAAAGTTATCTAGGAAATCAATGTTTAACTAGTATTTACTATTCTCTTGTTTACCCATATCTCATATATGGTTGCTTATTGTGGGGAAATAATTATGATAATCCATTATCACAGCTCATACGTCTACAAAATAAAGCAGTTAGAATAACGAATGACGTTCCTTTACGAGATCATATCACTCCTCATTATGCTCATCTAGGTTTATTAAAATTTCGTGATATTGTTAAAATTTACAATTGTTTGTTTTTATATGATTATGTCTCTGATAATAAGCCGTGTAATTTTCCATTATTTCTTGTATCTGAGCAACATGATTATTTTACACGAAGTGCATCTGCTCAGCAATTACACATTCCCCACTCAAGAATTAATATTCGAAAGTTTTGCCCTACCGTCATTGGAAAATACTATTGGAACGATCTCCCCCTTTCTATTCGCAATAAATCATCGAAAATGCTGTTCAAAAAGGCACTTAAAAAATATTATCTTGCTCAATATTGACTTGTGTGCGTGTGTGTGTGCGTGCGTGCGTGTTTGTGTTTTAATGAACAACAAAACTACAAAAGAATAAAGTCAATCTTGTTAAAGGGCCATGATTAGTTTTACTATAATGTGCCCTTCTCCATTCTAATTTTCTTCTTTTATTATTATTATTAAGTACACGTAGTTTAAGCAACTTTGTACCAATTGATATCGTACAACTAATGTATTATAAATATTGTACAACTATTGTATTATTGTACAACTAATGTATTATAGGGTGAAAAAAAAATAAAATACAAATACAAAATACAATTTGTGTGTATCTAGTTGTCAGTGATGTTAACCACGTTCCCTTATAATAATTGTAACAAAAGAGACAAGTTTTATAAGTGAATAAACAATTATACAGCAAAGAAGAATTGTCAGGTAGAAAAAGTTATATTTATTGCTTGGGTAAAATTAAAGCCAGGGCCAATATGAAAAGAAGTCTCTTATGAGATGCCAAAGGAACGTCATCGGCCATGAAAGAATTTTGCACCAGAAATTCACTTTAAAAAGGAAGGCTTTACCTTAACCCTAAAGCTCCTGTGAAATTGAATTAACTAAACTACTGTGGCGGTTGAACTTTACGAGCTGATTTGACTCCATTGTGAAACTATGCATATCATTTAAGGCTTAATGTCATCGGTAACCGCTAAATAATTAAGTCATACACTTAAGTCATCAGCGATACTAGAGAATACTGTTGTTTTGATCACTAATAAGTTTTTAAAGTTATAGTAGTATATAAGAAAGAGATACAATAACGACTAAAAATTACAGTGGAACCCCGCCTTACGGCCACCTCGTTATTACGGCCTCTTTTTTTCGCCGCCCGGCTAAACGACCATACTTTTTCTTGCAAATAAACGCTCGTTAATACGGTCACCCGTTACCACGGCCAAAATGTTTAGGCCCCTTGATGACCGTATTAACCGTATTTTCTGTTTTCCATTTAACGGCTAAGAAAGAGCAGCAGTATTGTATGGAAGGACCTGATAAAAATGAAATTCCAAAATCATATGGGTAGTTGGCCCCATGGACCACACCCAGCCACTTTGCCGAAAAATCATGTATGGAATGGTGGGCGAACTCGCACAGATTCACAGGAGCAACCTGGCTGTGGGTATCGGTAATCTCATGGCGCCACAATGGGATAATCACCAATGAGGTCTGCTCGTTGCCTTCTTAGGGTGTATATTTGCCGTTGTTCATTAGGTCACGGGGTGTACATAAATTCTAAGGCGTCCGCAATGAGCTTGGCAGTGTTTATGAGAAAGGGAAAAACATTGTAATAGACCTTAGGGGACGGTCGATTTCTGTCAGTGAAAATGACAAACTTGAAGTTAAGCTTTTTGGAAAAAGGAAACTTAGTTTAAACTGAGACTATTAACTGGAATACATTCTTAAGGACGTGGCATGGGAGGAAAGGCTTAGACTTAGGGAGGATAAAGTAAAGCGAATTTGAATCTCTGCCATATCAATCAATCAACAAGGCAGGGTGGCGCAATGACGACCTGGAAGCCCGATCTTCAACTCCTACTTTTACCCACTTGATCGAGTTTGCAACACGGAATTATGACAACATGATTCGCATTCTCTTATGCGTATGCCATGCATATCCATTGCCTAAAATAAGGTAACTTATCCACTGTTTCTACTACGGGCCAGGCTCGGCCAGGCTATTTAGAGTTATTTTGAAATTGGCCTGGTTTACGCCATTTTAGAGACTTGCCATCATCGGAAAGAAATTTGCAAAACGGTGACGCGGAGCATCCGTAGTGTCGCATTCTTGAAGTCTACTCTCTTGCAAAGACTTCTGGGGGGGGGGTGTCGGGAAGGAAGTTGTCGTCTACTGCCGAGGCAAAATAGAGTGTGTCCAAGTATGTCCTTAGCGTCTTTCTTGCTCAAGCATCAAGCAGTCTATCATTCCTTCGTTTTGCCCAGATTGACAGATGAGTTTTTGAGAATTTTCTTTGGGGAAATGTACTGCGACTTAAATTGGCATTGTTGCCCAGTTAGTTCTACACCTCTCTCTACAACGGCTTGATGGAAAAGGTCCTCTGACAGAGGAGATAACAGATGAAGACCCACACTAGATCCGCCTGCGCTTGCGTCAAAAAAGGCAACCTTGCTGGGATTCCCACCAAAATGCTTCATGTTTGACTTGACCCGCTGCACTTTAGTGTTTCCTCTTGATCCAACATTCCATAGTTTCCAGAAGACACAGAATCTCCGATGGTTAAAAAGCCAAATGGACCGGGACGATACTGGATCACCACAACCACCACTCCCTGTAGAGCAAGAATATCACTGGGATGAATGAACGGAGACCCTGTTTCATAAGAACCACCATGAATGTAGACCATCGCTGGAAAACTCATGCTGACGTTCAGAGTGTAGACATCAAGATACAGACAGTCTTTACTGCACACAAAATGAAGGTAGTAAATGTCGAAGGGAAACTCAATTCTCTTAGGTTGAAAACAAACGTTTCCAAGTATTTCCGCTTGGCAAACCGATGGTCTTCAATGAACTGGTGGTTGCAGGGTCTTAAACCTTAACCCTCCAGTCACTGGAGCGGTTAAAGGAATGCCTAAAAATTTGTTGACGAATTTGAATGGGGTAGACATATTGCTATAGGCAACCGAAAAACCTTCGATATCTCCATCCTTGGTTGTCACTTTTACTGAAAGGACCAGAGGCAAAAATTCGTAAAATGTGAGCCAGATTACGCGTAAGTAGGCAGCTGGACATCATAGTTCTCTTAGATTGATAATCACAATCGCTTTTGGAGTTGATTCTCTATTTATCGTTTTCCACGCTTTTGTGGTTCTCTGTGCTTACAGCTTTTAACCTTTCTTGAGCCCACTCAGAGACAGACTGCATAAACTCCCTGAAAAAAGAAATGCTAAATATACAGAAGCTACCTTATGACGTAAATGCAAAGAGTTCTGTTTCAATAACTTTTACAATTGATTTTATAATCGACCACCTCAATTTTAAAATCTACTTGTCCCTCCTGCAATTATTTCTTCAAAAATTTTGGGAACTGACGATATGCTTATACCTGTATTGGAAAAACCATGCACTATTCATCACTGCCTTCGGTATCAAAATAACTTAGAACTAAGTTCCACTGATGTGTTAGCAGCAAGATAACTGAACTGCTGACGTCTTTACTAAAACAGGGTAACTCGTAGCATCAGCCACCCACACAATCGGTCGGCATAAAGCTATATGGACATACAGTTGATCAATGACGCTGTACAATTGGTCCTTCGGACCATTTGCGCACTCCTTATAAACTAAAAATACGACAATTATGAAAAAAAAACTGATTGATTACAGTAGAAAGGTGTTTATCACAATTCTCTATTTTCTTAGAGGAGTTGAATTCTACATCCGGTCAATTTCTTCTTTGTGGTGATTTCAACTTTCACGTCGATGACAATACAAACGCAAGCCAAACAATTCCACGACCTTTTTCCTGCTGATCTAAAGCAGCATGTTAATGGCCCTACCCCATCGTCTGGGACACACATTGGGTCTCCTCATCACTCGCGAAATGGATACTATAATTTCTCATACAAGAATTTTACCAGATCCTCTCTCTGACCATCAAGCGGTTGTGTGCTTCATAAATTTACCGCGGCCCCCTGTCACCCGTATAACTGTTACGCATCGGAAGACTCGGGACATCGATCTTGATGCTTTTGGGAAGGACAACTGCCGTGTCTTCTTTAAAGAGTTGGTTGATGGAAGACTTGGAAGACAAGACAACCCCGTATGATAATACATTGCGACTTCTACTTGACATGTACGCCCCAGAACAAACAAGGATAGAACCCTAAGGCCATATGCGCCTTGGTTCTCAGACGATCTTTTCGAGAATTAAAGCGTGTTAAAAGGCGCTAAATTTCAATCCACTAAGTTATCAATTGGTAAGCAAATTTACTATCAAGCCTGCCGCAATTATAATCGCTTGATGGAGGTTTCGAAAACCAGTTCTTTGAAGGTAGTACATCTAATATAAAGCAACTTCTCAAGCTCGTTCACGGTATGTTCAGCGTAAAGTCTTCTCCAAATCTAACGACACATGACTCTCTTGAACACTTAGCTGACAGTTTTGGCGACTTCTTCGAATCTAAAATCATCGATATCAGACGTGCTCTCAGCTCTCAAATCCCTTGCTCTCGGTCTGAATGTCTGACTAATGTATCGTCGGTGGTCTACTTCTTTCAGTCACTCTGGTGATCACGTCTCTCCGAATGGTCTCAAGACTGTCATTCAGTCATCCAAAAGTAAAAGTTGTACTCTCGGTCCAATACCTACTTGGTTGTTAAAGGACTGTATTGATGTTCTATTACCTACTCTAACTGATATCATGAACGCGTCTTTAGATCAGGGAATTTCCCCCTCTTTCTTCAAGAAGTCACTAATTCAGCATCTGACGCTGATGTCTTTGCCAACTACCGGCCCATCTCCAATTTATCGTTTCTCTCTAAGACATTATAGAGAATAGTAGCTTTCCGGAATGAGGAATATCTCACCACCAATGCGTTATCTGCTAAAATGGAATCAGCATACAGAAAGCATCACAGTACTGAAACTGCCCTTCTACGAGTTGTTAATGATATACTCCAGGCCATCGACAATAAAGGCGAGGCAGTTCTAGTGCTGTTAGATCTGTTCGCGGCTTTTCACACAACACAATAGACCACGCTATTCTTCTAGATAGGCTTGGATATCGCTATGGCTTTTCTGAAATGGTTCTTCGTTTGATTGAATCATGCGTTAAAGATCGTCCTCAATGTATTGCCCTCGATAAGATTCTTTCTCGACCAAGATATTTGTCCTGTGGGGTTCCGCAAGGTTCGGTCCTTGGATCTTCTTATTCTCTCTGTATATGGTCCCTCTTGAAGATATCATCTCCGCACACGCCTTACTTCGACGCAATGGTGTATGCTGACGACATCCAGCTCTACATTTTTATACGTAACGGGAACCGCGCCGTTGCTTTAGAAAATCTCAGTTTGTGTCTAGATGATATAATGAGTTGGAATTTATGCAGTGCGCTTAAAAGACTGAGATAATACATTTCTCTTGGCGTTTTTTACCTGATGAACCGACTTCTTCGATTAAAGTCGGTGATCAGTACGTTCAGCCAATTAGAGTTGTCAAAGACTTTGGTCTAGCTTACGCGTGATCTACACCTCCCTTGTTCCCCATGTCAACAACACCTGTCGCTTTCTTGCGTTCGTTTCATTCTTTTGGCAGAATCAGAAAATATCTTTCGCAAGCGGATACTGAGCGCATTGTCCATGCCTTCACTTTATCAAAATTAGATTATTGTAATAGTTTGCTCTATGGAATTCCCTCTCATAAAATTGAGAAACTTCAGAGATTACAGAATACCGAGGCAAGATTAACTGTGTGCTAGAAGAAGACTGATCACATATTACTCTTTTTTTAAAAAAGTTGCACTAGCTTCAGTGTGGCTTCCTGTTAAGGACAGAATAACTTTTAAGTTATTGTTGATTACTTCCAAATCCCTTAATGACCTTGCTCCGGTGCATATTTATAATGAGCTGTTACATCATTACACTCCCTGTCTTCCTCTTCGTTCTAGTGATTCCAACCTCCAGTTATCATCGAGATATTTATATGTAGAATGCGTTTTTAAGAACTTTTATTGCCCACAAAGAGGGTTGATAAATAAAAGTGAACACTGATTACCATGATAACAGCTTTAACCACACTTAAAAA